CTGGCGGCGAACAAAGCCCGTTGGAAATGGTTGGAATATACCTGTAGCGAGCACAAAGTGCACTGGCGGAAACCTGAGCTTTCCGGAATTCTAGCCACGCGCTTCGTTTGACAATCGGTTGATGACGTCATGTTTTAAGCTGTGTTGTATTATCTATTTTAATATGCTTCACCCCCATTTGTTGCTGCAAGGACGTATCGCGCTCGATCAGGTTCGAATGTTTAGTGACTGAGGACCTACAAAACGTTACATTACATTTGAAAATAATATCTGCATGATGCATTAGGTGAAATGAAACTTCAGACATTCTTGTGTATGACACCTTTCCGCAACTTTCATCAAATGGCTGCTGCTTTGTATTCGGCCCCAAAGTCACGCCTGAGTAAAACAGGTGAAATCTCCCTGTTCCAAGAACACTACATGCGATCGGAAGGTGGCTGAAAAATCTATTCGAGGCAAGTTAAACTTGCAAGGCAAACAAGTTTAGATTTTCACCTTTTTGTGCCCAAGAAACACCCATTCACATATGCTAAGCTGCCATGAGTTTGCAGCACAAAATGTGAGGGGCTCGCTGCATTCCCTTTTTCGCCATAGTTTCCCAGCACAGGCTCTAACCTCTCAACCTGTCAGCGCGTGGGAGACGGTGGTACCTCTTGACACATGGCTCCAACACCCGCTCACATTCCCCAGACGCATGTCACTGGAGCGTGCGGAGAATGACCCGTTGCGGCTGCTGAAGAATATATATATATATATATATATATATATATATATTTATTTATTTATTTATTTGTTTATTTGTAATCGTGCACGCGTGTGTGGTGCGTTTTTTTTATTAAACCTGGGGAAGAACGTCGACTTTCGGATTGTTAGAGCCTAATGCATCGGCGTTAGCAACGATTCCGGACGGATGACGGACAGAGACGAGAATGGTTTGACTAAGCTGCGCCCTTTTCAAGAGGGACGCGCTATTTTGAATAAGATTATTATGTTGGCTGGTATCATAAATCTGGAAGAAAATGAAAGGTGATGAAATAAACAGCGTCAGCATACACAACGATGGCAAATACATCAAGCATAAGAAGAGGGCTTAAGATCACGAAGTAAAGGAAAAATATACAAATAAATTTACATTAAGCATTGATGAGCATTAAACTTTGGACTGGTGTAGTGCACGCTTGCTGTATATTACGGCCGCTTCCAGCGGGCCGTGAAGCAAGGGCTAGGAAATCAACTCAGATGGTGGATAAACTGTGCTATGTGGTAAAGCCAAACACCATGCCCAGTCGCCGGACTGTCAATTATCTGGTGTTAATTTATGCCTTCTCGAACCTTGCTCCAGTCCGGCTCCCACGACTGCTGTTCCGGATAATGGGTGCCTGAGATATCGGGTACAGCGGGGCCAATTATGAAAAATAAACGGCGCTTGATCTCTGTGTGTGTGATCTACATCACCAAAAAGAAAATCTCAAGTATTCATCAAAAGTGACGACAGGAGAACAAAACCGAGCACTTCAAAGCTATTTTTTATCCGACGGCCGCCAACTTTATCAACAGATTTCGACGCAACCGACGCAGATTGATAGATGGTGAGTTTGACATTGCTGCCATGGCATCATTTCGAAATTCACAACTAAAAAGCGTATCCTGAACCTGCAAAACGTAGGAACATAACGTTTAGACCCGAACGCCTAAAACGCTGTAACTTCCGGGTCTGTCTATTGTTTATGCCATCCTTAACTGTGTAGCTTGGCCATGGGTCTTTTTGCTGATCCGTGGTAGCTATCTTCATGAATATAATCTCTGGACAACACTTAACGGAGCTTTTAACAGGAGTAGAGCATACTGTGCGTTGTGCGCAGTAACTACTATGGTCGGAAAAGATGTACGCAAACGAGTTAGAATTATATTGGAGGCAGAATCTTATTGTGGAACTACCGAAACCCGTGTAAATTGGACGACAAATGGCCTAGCGGCTAATCACAAGACGGCACCTTGGGACAATGATGTCAGTGACGGTTTATTGGACAGTCTTCTGAATCACGCGCCGTGGTCACTTCCTAGAGTAGGTAGAGCGTACTTCAAATTGCTTAGTTGTGTTTCTCAAAGGAGGTCAAAATGCCGATTCCCAAAGGCCGTTTGTTTCAAACGCAAAAATCACAAAACCTGGATTATTGATAGCTGTTTACCTTACTTTCAGCCTAAAAATATAGAAAAAACGGCTCAGTAATACATTAGGCTCCATTCGCCTCCTATCCCCTCCCTCCCCCCAACTAAGGCCCAAATTTGCACATACAGTATCAGGTAAAGAGGAATCACCTGGCAACATAAATGGACCCTGCAAGTAGGGACAGCCCGCTACAAATTTCTTTTAATACTAACTCAAATGTTGTTTTTGGGACATGCTCGGATTTTCAGGACATGCCCCATACTTTTTAGCTGCGAAGTCCAGTACTTTTCAAGCAGCTCAACATACACGACGTCGTGTTAACCCTCGTCCTAGGATGGTGGTCTCATAGAGCCCCCTACGGTTCCTCCGCAACAGCATCTTAAAGGGTTTAAACACATTGTGGAAAGGCCGGTCACCCAAGCCTACATCACTTTTATACATGCTGTGAAAATTTTAGGTTCCTGAGCATGGCGGTTGATGATCTATAGCCCCCTCTCGACGTTCCGGCAGCGACATTTTGTTAAAATGACAGATAGCGCTTACATTTTGCAATCTAGACGCATGGTTGAATGGTCGTATAGAATGGTCCTCATATCAACCGCTTGAAGAACCTTTATCAGGCAGCTTTTCCCACCAACATGAACTGCTTAGGTCTTGACATGGTCGCATGTGTAAATGCAACAAGCACCTGTACCCTTTTGAGCTGGAATGACATAGCACGCCTCTGGGCTGGTCATATATAGCGTATCACACCTCTGGGAAAGTACGCCTCCGGGTGGGTGCTACTTACACATCTCTAACACCCCATATCTAGTGTACCTCAACACTTTCACGTAGTGCAAACACCCTAAAACTAACGCTCGCTTCCTGAGATGCATTAAAAAAAAAGCGACGCTCAAGTTATACACTCCAGAAAATACCTTTGCTCTCGTCTCAACTACAGTCAAAACACACACACATCGGGTAAATTTCTTATCTGTACTCAAGGTGTTGGAGGCTGCGAAACGCGTGCGTTTGATAGCTGTAAGAAATTACGTCGCTGCGCTGATTTTGAAAACACTCGGACACGTCATACTTGGAGGAACACCTCCGTGAGGTGTCGACACATCAAAAATTACATACAATTCAACCCTCTCCCCTCCCCCCCCCTCCCACACGCGCCACCATGACGTCAGGGTAAAATATGTGTTCGCGCTAAGGAATGCAGTTGTATTTGCTTTCTTCACACGTATGAAACAAATCATGACGAGATCGTACGGGCAGGACGTTTGAAAGCAACATGTTACGTTTTGGCCAGTCCAACAAATTGTTGCGGGCAAACTTAGCAGCGTTGTCACGGTGACATGAACCGACAGAAGCATATGTATTGGTGTACATATGCATATATATATATATATATATATATATGTAGATAAAACTGCGTCTACAACCCATAATTGTTGTGAAAAGGTGCGCAATGAAGGAAATTCCAATCTCTACCATCGCAGCTATTTTGATGGTGATCAAATGGCATTCTTTTAAATCATCGTCATGGTGCTTAGTGCACATTAGACGCATGACGGGGAAAGAGAGAGCACCATAGGTTATTGCAATTATCGCAGACAACTTGAAGCGACCCATCTGAAATATAACCACGTGATCTAACCACTTCATATCAGTTAGATCACTTTTTCAGTGTTAGATGACCAAGGCGGTTGCATATGAGTTCGACATAATATACAGCATAAAACGAGAGTTGGCTTTCCAAGGGCTCTTTGTCACCGAAATACAAACATCTCCGCCTTACCATTTCTCAAAATAATGGGTGTTCAATCCAAAACAGCCTCTGAACCATTTTTTTTTTACCCGAACGCGATGCACGTCGTTACCCTCTTATAGCGCTCCCGGGACTGAAGTGGTTATCTAAGGGCTCAAAAATCATGTTGCAAACGGGATTCGAACCCGGATCCTGACACTTTGGTCGAAGATGCGAACCGTTCGGCAAATGCACCTCTTTTGGACCACTTCAAACATAATACTCCAATCTTTAATATTTGCTTAAATCAGATTAAATGCGTCAACGGGACCAGACGAGACAGGACGGACCAGCCATGTTCTAGTCCCTCTGCCATTCGGTCCCACCCGGGTCCCTATTGCGTTTCCATTCGGCTCCATTCCGTTCCGTTAAATCCCGTTTGGTCCCGTTCGGTCTTCTCCGATCTCATCCAGTCCCACCTGGTCGCATCAGGTCGTCATCGGTTGGTCCCGTCTGGTCTCGTTTTGTTCTGGTTCGATCCCTTTCAGATGAACACATTATATTCCCTTCAGTGCCGTGTGGTCCCATCCGGTGCCGTCCAATGTCGTGTGCTTCCGCCCGATCTCGTCTGATTCCGTCCAATTTCGTCTGATTCCGTCCGCGCCGTCTGATTCCATCCAGTCTCATCTGATTCCGTTTGATCTCGTCCTATTCCGCCCGCTCTCGTCTGATTCCGTCCGGTCTCGTCCGGTCCCATTCTGTCCCACCCGGTTCCTTTCGGTCATGCCCGGTGTCACGTGCTCGCGATCGGAGCCGGTCGATCCCGTCTGATTCCGTCCGGTCGCGCTTGGTCCCGTCTGATCTCGTTGGCTCGATCCGGTCCCAGCCCGTCCCATCTGGACACGTCCGAGCCCATTCGGTTCCGGCTGTTTCAGTCCGATACAGTCCAGTCTCATCTGTTCCCTCCCGGACCCGTCTGGTTCAGTCTTGTCTCGTCCGTCTCGTCCAGCATAGTCCAGTCCCACCCAGCTCCGCCTAGTCCCATGCAATACCATCCAGTCCCATCTGGTCCCATTACGTTTCCATCTAGTTTCA